TTAACCGCATGAATAAAATAGGAGCAAGATCATTTGATATCGTAATTAAAAAGTTATCTTAATAAACAATTTTATTTTTAACACAAATCTGTGCATATGTTAATTTGTTCATGTTTGTAGTCATACTTTTTATTATTTTTAAAACTAATTTATTCAAATAATTTTTTAATTACCGGCAATTAATTTATTATTTTTAAAAAATACTGAATATTTTGTTTTGTAATATTTTAAATTACTGTAAGCTTGTGACAAACTTATTGGTGGAATTTTGTATTTGTAATTTTGTAAAGAATTATTGTTTATTATAAGAGTAAATGATAAGAAGGACTCACTTGTGACGACAACTTTGCATTCACTCGACTCGTCGTTTCGGTTCTCAACACTGAATTCGACGCCTTTCCCTAAAGAAGCCATTCTTAACGTATGTCCAGATATAATGGATTGAGTGCTGTCCACAACTTTCACTAAATATGGACTGCCTGTTCACACAATCAAAGTGTTTCAACAAATAATATTAATGAATGAACTAAAATGATGTAAACATTTGCTAATCATATATAATGTAGAGTGAATAAGCAGGAAATGTCTCAGACCTGGAACGGGCTCTCCATTGAATTTAACGCTCAACACATGAGTGTTGGGTTCGGTTGGCTTGAAATTGACCCTGAATTTAGCGTTTCNGCTAATCATATATAATGTAGAGTGAATAAGCAGGAAATGTCTCAGACCTGGAACGGGCTCTCCATTGAATTTAACGCTCAACACATGAGTGTTGGGTTCGGTTGGCTTGAAATTGACCCTGAATTTAGCGTTTCCTTCTGATTGAACATAATTGGGAACATTTCTGCCGTTCGCCGACACTATTATCTCGAGATTTCCCGCACCGGCAGCACTCGCATCGACTTGATTTTGAAAATATTAAGTTTATTACAAACAAAATGTTATGCTATGTCGTGTAAAATAAAGAATCTTTACTTGAAAAATAAATGGGTTTCCCAACGGTTCCACTCGTTATTTCTGAAATTCTGACATTTTTTGAATCATAAGCCTTAACTAGAAATGGACAGTTGGGTACTGAAGAGCCGCCAACTTTAACATCAATGGCATGATCTCCAACTTCTGTTGGCGTGAATTCAATTTGATATCCATTCTGCGGATCGCCGTTCAGAACTGCTCGCAATGTTTTATGTGTCGGTCCTATAATTGGTTTAAAAGTGCATTTAAGTTGATGTCTACGGTTTAGAGTAAGTAAAAAGTGTTCAACAAAATTATACCGAGTATTAAAACATTATTCTCCGACAAAGATGTGCCGTTTGTTTCAATGGAAAATTTGGCGGTCGTGAGAACGGCAACCTTTTCCAAGCCATCCCTATTGATGGTCACCTTTGATGCGTCCAAAACAGAGCACGTGAATGGAGAGCCTTTATAACAATTATGGGTTTCTGTTAATATGCATTGTTTTCACAAGTTTTAACGTCAGTCTAAACCTGGAACGGCTTCTCCATTAAACTTAATGTCAATGTTATGATCTTCTGTATCCTTGGGTACAAAAGTTATGGCGTAAAGACTTGATCCCAAAGCCTTGGGTGTTGAGGGAACTTTGCCATTGTTAACAATCACTTCCAGATTGCCCGGACCTGCATTTGATGCCTCCACTAATCCAATAAAACCAACAAAAAAATTAGCGTTCATTTAAATACTGCCGTCAATAACATTAATACCTATAAAAGTGACCGCTTTTCCGGAGACAATCTCACGAGGAATCTCTTTGACGCGAATTCTCTTTATATCATATATTTTGGATGAAAAGGGAGAGCCAGGAATGGGTACACCTTTGTGTTTGAGTTGTATTAAATATTCCCCTTTGGTAAAGATTAGAAGAATATAACATACATACGAAACAATTATAAAGTAACTGTTAATAATTTTATAAATACCAGGAATTGCGGGCAAAAACTCAATATTAGTGACACCAGAATCTACATCTCTTTGTAGTGTCATCGGAACAGACTGTCCGGTTGGCCCTATTTTTATATTTTAATAATTTAAACAATGTTTAGTAATCATAAAATAAATTGAGATATATTTAAAATTACCCGTTATTTTAGGGAATAAATCATTTTCGGACAACACGTTATGAACGGCGAGAATCGCTGGTTTATCGACGGGCGCGAAATGTAAAGCTGTTCCGCTAACAGAGACTTTGTTCATCTCTGGATTGATGTGAACCACGAAAGGACTTCCTATAAATAAAATTATATGAAACACATATAGCTTTCATTAAATGATTAACAATATTACCAGAAACTGGTTGACCATTGAATGTAATCGAAACGATATGATCGCTGTTTTCATTAGCAACGAAAGAGACGCCAAACTTCGCGCCTCCCATGGGGTGCACTTGGGTTATAATATTCTCTCCTTTGGCGTTCACAGCGATCTCGAGATTGCCTTCGCCTGAATTGCTGGCGTCGACTATGAATTGAATCGGTTTCCCAATACTTCCCGACGAGACGGGAGTCACCAAAACTTTTTTCGCGTCGTAAGACTTGACAACGAGTGGAGATGAGCTGACGAGTCGATTGCAGTGCTCTATAGATATGATATGCGGACCCACTTCTAGAGGAATAAATTCACAAACACATCCCTCGATGTATTCTATATTAACGGCAATTTGTTTTCCTGTCGGCGATGTAATGGTTGTGCGAATCGATTGGTTCTGAATCGGAGCACTCGATGTGATGCTAAATCTGGCCGGCATTCCAACCGGTATGAGCTCTATATGACTCACATCGACGTTAAATTGTGTGGCATCTGATATCTCACACACAAAAGGACAACCTATTTAAGTGAATGTGCAAATATTTATTAACAAAAAAAACTGTTATAGAATGCTAATGAGTAATATAAATACCAGGAACATTTTCGCCGTTAAATTTGATGTCGACTATGTGTGGAATAAGTGATTCTGGTGTGAAATTAACCAAACATTTTCCGTTACCCAACACTTGCACCTGATTTGGCACTTCTCCGTCATTGACAGCAATTTCGAGCTGTCCCTCACCGGCCTGTGAGGCGTCCACTAAAAGTGAACAAACATTTAGAAATTATTTCCAAACAATAATAATCTCCACAAACCTTGAAACTCAAACTTATGTCCAATTAAGCAGTTTTTAGGCGTTTCGCTCACAGATATTCTCGATATATCGTAAGCTTTAGCTGAAAAAGCGCTGGTCATTAGTGGCTGACCGTTGACGTTGATCTCAAACATATAGGTGCCCACTATTGAGACACTGAAATACACACGAAATACATCGTTTTGCAGATCCAATATCCGGTTCTGGACTGTGGTCTTCGAGGGACCCACTATTGACACAACAATGTCTTCTTTTTTGACTGCCGGAGCACTTATATCGAAGGAATGGGTTTGTCCGACAGGAAACGACTCCAAAGACTGCACTTTTAATAATCCTTTTTTCGACAACGAATTTATTGGCAAATGTGATGCAAATATTTGACACTTGAATGGAGAGCCCAACACATGCTCGCCGTTGAACTTCATTTCTATGGTATGTAATGAAACGGTTTGCGGCACAAACGAGGCCAAGAAGTGATGATTTCCTAAGTTCTTCACTTCGCTGTTCACTCGTCCACTGTTGACAAGTATCTCCAAATTGCCAGAACCGGCTTCACTGCAGTCAACTACGGATCATAATATAAATTGTTAAAAATTAAAAGTTTGCAAACTTTATGACATGAGCTAACTTTGAAATTGAACGGCGTTTGCGACGACCCCATTGGGAATGGCACCAACTTTGATCTTGCTCGAATCGTATGCCAGACTATGAAATGGATTGCCAGCAATGGCTTTGCCCAACGCCTTCACCTCAATCAAATGTTCGCCTACTTCTGGAGTGATGTACTCCACCTCATAATGACCTGCTTTTATAGTGTCCATTCGGAAAGGGATCTCTCGGCTCGACGGAGCTATTCATCAATCCATCACTCAATTAGTCTTAATTACAAAACACACACCAAATGAATGACTCACCCGTGACCACAATGCCAATATCATCTTGGTCAAAGCCTGGAGCAGTGATTGTAAATAAGACAGGTCTCTTAACTGGAACTAACTTCAAACCGTTCCCATTGGCAGTTACTCTGTGAACATTTGCCAGTTTTTGAGACTTAATTGTTGTTAAATTTTGGGAATTAATGCGATCTTCAGATGCGAATGGTTTAGACATTTCAGATGAAATACTTTCTCATGAGATATAATAACACGAAGTGATGACCGAATATGGGAGCGGAAGGGAAGGCATGAGATGTCAAACGTGGCACAAATATCTTCTAAACTAATCTTCGACTGCATTCCATCACAGGAATGGGGTTTCATATGTAAATCTCATACCTGTGCTGTGCTGTAAGGCCTGTCCTATTGGGACTCACCTGAACTCACTTGTCAGACAAGTTCTTTACGTTCAGTTTGTTATTTACATTATTGAATACCTGTCCTCAACCCCTATGTGTAATACCTTTGGGATATTCCCTCACTATTAGTGCTCTTCTCAACCAAACTTTGGCAAAAGTTTGACATTCTTTCAATGTTTACAATAATTATATATTTATATATAATAAAGGATTCAATCAATCGTTTAAAGAATAAAAATTTTTATTAAAAACAAAAAGTTAAAAATAATTGAATTACTTTTCCAATTATCAAAAAATAAGCTCAAATGTATAACTTTTGCTAAAATATTTCAAATCAGTGCTTAATTATAGTTATTATGAAAATAATTTTTAATTAATTAATAACAAAGTAATAAAAATGTTCAAAAATTCATATTTTTGTTATCTCTTATCCAATATATACCGGCAATAGATTTACAATTATTTAGACAGAGTTTACGATAGGAGGGCATAATGTTGTAACACAATGTGAATAAACGTTTTGCTATTCAAAACACTATTGAAAAATACGGTCGGATTTATAAAATATATTGTCAAGAATTGATGACTTAGTGGTCACTGATTGGTGACAACTATAATCAAATAAACGATAACTTTTTATATATGTTAACATAAAACCAGAAAAAGTGTAAAACAATGTATGAAAAACTCGATCTAAATGTTTGCAAAATCCGTGTATAATATAAATGATAAAATATGTTCATTAAAAACGATTCAAAAGTCGCATAAAATCAGTTTTTGGCAGTTTTGCTGACTTCGGCAGTGATTATAATGAAAATAACACTTGTTTTGATGCTATAATAATCACTCGATGCTATTGAGGGGCAGTCACTCTACTAGAGTATAGACCGGCGAACTGATCAATAAGTGTTGCCAATCGGGTCGAGTTGTCGGCGCCGTTCTTGAACTTGAATCCAATGGCCGACGAATACGAGTTATAGAAGAGACTTCTCACCGCTTGGAGTCTCTCTTTTCGCATACCATTTGTTTTTGGAAAATCCTTTCCCACCTTCGGTTCCCTCTTTGTGTTGGAGTGAACCGAGTGTTTCATCTCAAAGGGGTCCGAATTACTGCCCGAAGAAGTGTCCGCAGAATTGCCATTAGCTTTGGGCGACGATAGAGAGTCGGGAGACGAGTAACGCATTGAACTCTCGCGTATACTTCCCGTGTCTGACACTATCTGCCAGCTGTCACTCCGGCTCAGCGATGATAACCCGTTGTCCACATTATTGGCCAATTTTTTATGCACAGGAATAGCGACCGGTTCTGTGGTTCTCGAGTTACAGCCATTTGATGCCAATTTGGGTGAATTGGAGATATGTTTGAGCGGTTCATCACATCTCTTCAGTATAGAAGTGATCACATGATTACTGGAGAACATCTGTGAGCCCTCTTCACTGTTGGTCAGTGTCGGAGGCGTTTTGCCGTAAGAGCTGTTGGAATCGGAATCCGTTTTCAAGAACAAGTCTTCGCCGGTGCTGTAGAGCGGGAAATACATCGGCGGACAGTTGTCGTGACTCCTAGTGCTCGCAGAACTGCAACTACTGTTCAAACTCGTTGAACTGCCGCCATATTTGGCTGAATTTTGGTGATCTTCGAGTAGAAGATCGCTTCCAATTGTTTGGTCAACACTTGGTTTCCGTTCTTTACAGCAATTGTTTGTCAGGAAATCAATAGAAAACTCTTCAGATGTGATGTATTTAAGAAAATAAAAACAAAAAAATAAAATCTCTTCTCCTTTGCTGAGTCTGTCGTTCAGATTATGTCCGAAGAGAAACCAATCGTAAGAAATGGTTAAAAATAAGATTTCGATTGGACTGAGATTTTGGTGAACCTTTCCGTCAGCCCATAGAGAGAGCCTTAATAGTGATGTGAAGAGAGGAGTTCTGTCCCAACCGGAGATGCAATGGATTAAAATGGATGAATCGCTTTGATTGAAGTAAAGTAATAACAGTTTTAAATAGTTTTGCGTTAATCTAATGACATCCCAATTGCGGTATTGTTTCCAATCGATGTTCAATCGCTCGCAGATGTTGTCATTGTTGGGAACAATTAGATCCGCGTCAACGAAGTGCTGCTTCCAGTCGTAAACGAGTCCTTCGGCTGAATACCCGTTGTCGCGATAGTCCCGGAAGAACTCACAGCCGGGATATGGCAAAGACATTATGTTGAACTCCTGGTATCGGCTCTCTTTGTCCGCCTTCTCACTTGACGTCACATTCATCCCAAACTTCACTTTCTTCTTCTCGACCATTAAATCACAGATATATCCGACCGACAGATACTTCAAGAGTTCGATGTCTCTGTTTCTCACTTTGGAAAACAGATGACTCGTATCACTGATTGAAGACAATCCCGGATTTGAAGTGGACGTCAACTCACTGTCCGACAAACGGGCGGTCATATTGTTATGAGACAAATCAGTGTCCACTTCACTGTTATTCCTGTCATTAAACAAATAGTCAAACCCCGAGCGGCCGTAGATCTCGGGACCGCCCGATAGAGTGGCCGAACGGCAGATATACTTATCGTTGTATAGAATGACGGGAATCGGGAACCGAGCCCTACATCGGGCCACTCGGGCTCTACTGATCAACTCTTTGAGTTTATTAATATCCAAACGTTTGTTTGCTTTCAAGTCATTACAACTTTTAACACAATTATATGAACTCAATGTCCGATCCTTTGCCACGGATTCATTGGTCAAAGTATTGCATCGTTTGATGGGTGACTGACAGGAGTCCACTTCATCCCAGGCCTCGGTGTTAGTCATATGAGGACACGGATGGCACGAATGGGGTGTGCAATGCGTTGAGCACTTGTGGTCGTCGCTGATCTGCGGTATAATGAGTTTGGATGGATAACTGGTGGCCAACTCTCCGTTGTCGTTGCTTATGATCTCTAAGTCCTTGTAATCCTTGCGAAACAGATTTGTGCATATCTTTTGGATCAAATCACTTCTCTTGTCGTTATCTCTGGTCTTGTAGTGACAGATGGAGAAGAGTTCCAGAAGTCGTCGGACGTCATCCGAAGTGAGCTGTATATCGGTGTCCATCGTTGACCTCCGGAATCACTGCAATCACCGGTCAATGAATGCAACACATGGTCTGTACTGATAGTTACGGCCACTTCTCGTATACAACACAACACTAATGAATATAACTCTATAACTCTATCGCTATTACTATTCCTGTATTAAAAATAGTTATTTTACACTATTTTTATCACTCATTGAAACTCCATTTTAGGGACTTTTCATACATCGCTATAATATCGCAGTGTTTTAAATGCTGTTCACTATTCACTGCACTCTCTGTTCATACCATTAGTTTTTAAACACATCATCTTATTTTCATTAATCATATGATTTAATCATTTATTAAACATAATTTAGGCATTTATTTGTGTGTTTTTATAGTTGTAGTCATTATTTATGAAACAATAATATAATTATAAAATAATTATAACTACAAAATTAATGCCTCGTTATTACAGGTATAACAAAGTTTGTGAGCGTTTGGCAAAACTTTTTTTGTTTTATTACTATTCCTGTATTAAAAATAGTTATTTTACACTATTTTTATCACTCATTGAAACTCCATTTTAGGGACTTTTCATACATCGCTATAATATCGCAGTGTTTTAAATGCTGTTCACTATTCACTCAGTGGTGAGGGCTGCTATGGTTACTGTGAGCCAAACACTACAGTATTGGCAATGTACAGTGGCGACGATTGCACAGCCAAGGCTGTTACGAAGTTACAATATATTGCCAATACTGTAGTGTTTGGCTCACAGTATCCATAGCAGCCCTCACCACTGTATTCACTGCACTCTCTGTTCATACCATTAGTTTTTAAACACATCATCTTATTTTCATTAATCATATGATTTAATCATTTATTAAACATAATTTAGGCATTTATTTGTGTGTTTTATAGTTGTAGTCATTATTTATGAAACAATAATATAATTATAAAATAATTATAACTACAAAATTAATGCCTCGTTATTACAGGTATAACAAAGTTTGTGAGCGTTTGGCAAAACTTTTTTTGTTACGTCTAATTAAATGATAAACTAATTGATAGGGTATTGCATATAACGGTTCATTGAATTGAAGTCAATTGTCTGACATATTCGCTAATTTTGAACCACAAATCAATTTAATTTCATTGACTTTTAACTATAAAGTGCTTAATATTTACAGAGGTATACAATAACTGCATTAATAGATACTGTGTATTAAATTTGTTAAATAGTTTATTATTGACAGATATTATCAGAAAAAAGTATTTTTCATTGAAACTCATATAAAGATAAAATTATGACAAACAGTGATCGTAAGGAGAGATTTCTTAATATATTTCTCTACACTTGTATTAACTCACGGATACTCTAAACCTAAGGACATTAGCATTGATTTGAGAATATTTTTGTGCAAAAATCGGATATAAAATTATATTGAATTTTAAAGCACAAAAAGAAATATTTTATAATGTAATTGATATTCACTTATTAATTGTATTCAGAAATATATTGTTTACTAACGACTCGATTGCTAAGAAATGCAACGAATCCTTGAGTTAAGTATTTATGAGAGTTTAACTCATTTGATGGCCTGTCGTCTCCTCTCATAAAACTTATAATAACTGCAACTTTTGTGCACTATTTGGTGAACAGCGCCGGTATATCTCTCCTCCACACCAGTTGTCAATTATTATGAAGAATTGATCAATTAATCCCTATATGTAGTGCATTACTGAAAGGAGAGAGAGAGAGAGAGAGAGAGAGAGGGAGCAGTTGAATAAAATCAAATTTTGACGGCAATAGGTTTGTCGGTCTTTTACGAACTGCCGGTTCATTCATTGTCGCCTTTTTTGTCGCTTCAATGTGTGAATCATTCATAAATGGTATAAATGGTTATAATTAGTTAACAAACCGTTAATATGAAGCAATAGTTAACGAAAAGATATGGAGATATTGAGTGACAGATCTAAACGTAACGACATTTAGCAGACAAAAGGCATACAAGAGATTAGCCGTAAAGACAATTGCAATGAATTAAAATTAATGAATAAAACTTTAATCCAACGTATCATCAAAACGATTACATAATTGTGAGTCTGAGTCGAGACTTGGTTTACAATTTGTGTAATAATTTATGACTCATTTCTCAAATAAAACATAAAAAGAAATAGTTTTATATTTGAATCCAAACGACAGCAAAAACTTTACATATTATTTGAAATACGCTTTTAATAAAAATTTTTTAAAAACAAATCATTGGTTTATGTGTTTGTAATTTAATTATCAATACATCAGTAGTTGTTTGCCCGCAAATAATCTCCTAATTTCTCGACAACTGTGTTGAGCTGTCCCGGAGGGAAGCCATCGGTGGTCGCCGCACACAACAGACACGTATTGGTCGCCACAATACACAGCGCCGACGACCCCTTCCGGCCGCGGATCAGGTTATTCTCCGCCTGAAGACAGAAGTACTTCTCGCCTCCCAAATGGATTCCGTGCTCTTGAAAGGAGTTCGGGTTCTCTTTCATGCCATCGGCGATCGCCTTCAGCTCCTGTTGCGTCACCTAATCATCACAACAATGGCATCAATCGACACATCACTGGATCAGTGGATCAGATCAATCACAGAGCGATGACATACCGGTTGCGAGACTTCCTTTTCAAATTTGGCCCAAACCTGGCCATCGCTGAGGCCTCCGATGACCGCCAGTTTGCACGACACTTGAGCACAGATTTGATTGTCGACATATGTTTGCCACGACATTATCACCAGTGGTTCCAATGGATCCCAATTGTCACACAATCAACAGTTTGAACGTCAAAGCAGTGACTGAGACAAAGCAATGCAGTCGTACTCACACTCAACACAAGCACTGACTATGCAATCAACACAACACCCAAATATGGCTACCATTGCCTACCAGTGCCACCACTGCCGCCACCAACACATGCCATAGCACTCCCACTGCACTCCCATTGCGCGACCCATAGCTCTCTGAGCACACTCTCCGAGAGCACAGGCGCTGCACCTCTGCTGCCGGTCCTCAATAAACACGCTTACAGTTTGCATGCATTCACTCATACCATACATCCCATACATCCGCCCCCCTCTACACCCGTTTCTAGACTCAATGCATTCATTCATTGATTGCATTACTATTGCAAAGAGTGGGAGAGTTGTTGGCTATAGAGTCAACTGTTTCTCAATTATTTGTTTCATTCATTGAATTGAATGTCAAGAATGCTGTCAATAGAAAGGGTCCAAAGAATATGTATTATTTGTAACGCTATTTGAGTGAATTATAATTGAAATGCATTACTCATGTGTTTATAATTACTGCACTCTATTGACGTAAATATGAAAAATGCCAATAAATTACTTCTATTACAGCACTTCTAATGAAAAATATTTTATAAATTTATAAAGCATTTCAAAAAAATTGTTTTAATATTTTTGCTGTTTAAAGCACCATGCATAAAAGTTGGCAAACAAATCTCCCAAATAATAAGGGTCATATTGATAAAGTTTATTTTATTTTAAAATATATATATATTTTCTAGCATCAGAATATGGATTTTTTACATTTAATTATTAATTTTATATTAAATTTTAATATTAATTTAATATTGAGTTTAAACTTGTCACAACTTTATTGAAATTAGTTTAATAATACTCTAGGCTGTGATCTCAACGGTTTTTTCGGGAAAAATACACTCAAAAAACTAATTTTGCAATTAAACAAAAAAACAAAACAAAACAAAAAACAAATTAAAAACAACATATTTTAATATTTGAATAAATCGATTCTTAACTATAATTTCAAAACAAGACAATTTTAATCAAAAAGTTTAAATGACAGAATACAGTTATTGATAAACATAGATTACAATGCAATAATATATAATAATAATACAAAACACTGCCATAGACTTATACCATAGAATTAACATTACTTATAAGAACATAAATTACATGATAAAGTAGCCATGAAATTAATCTGGGATGCCATGCTATCGAGATAGTGTGGGGGATGGGCCAAGTGATCCTTGATATAAAATCTCTTAGAATTATAGTTAAAACAAATAGTAATTAAAATTAAATAACAAGGCATTCAGAAATAAATGTCCATAATGGCCATNAACTTCAATTTTATCGATAGTTATTTTCGCTTTACTTTCAACAAAAAAAAATAATTGTAAAATAATTATCACATTTTATTTGAAAATCAATTTTGACAAAACGTATCATTAATTCATTATATTTTACTTCATGTGAAGAGAAGGGAAAAATGCAAAAAATCTCTCACACCAGAGATGAATAACAATAATAATAAAAAAGCACTTATACTTCAAGGGCTCAACAATTTTTTACATTTAGTGTCTGACATGTGAATCCATTTACAATGAGTTTTTACCCAACAAAACGTTTTTGAACCAAAATTATATATGTTTTTTGCAAATATTCTCTCTCTCTCTCTCTCTCTCTCTCTCTCTCTCTCTCATCTCTCATTCAAAGCATACAATAATATTACATAAAAATTATTCATTGAAACTGAAATACTGTCACTCTATTGTAAACTATGATAAAGTTGTCACTAAAACATACACAACATATTGAGCCCAACGTTACGACAAAATTCTGGCGAAAAAGCGTTTCGTTATAACAAAACATATTCTAAACCCAAATCCCCAATGATTTTGGACTCTCTTTTACTATAAATTATTTGTACTTTTCTTCTCTTAATATATATCTCTTCTTCTCGTCTCCAAAACATATCACATATAAAAAGCGTATTATTTTTGTGTCGCATCTCTTGTGCTGTACTTTCATAAAAAATTCAATTCAAAAACTCTCACATCTTTTCACTAATGCATTGTTTTCTGTAATCTCTTTTCCCCTCTCATCCACTCATAAAAATCACAATCATTTCATAACTCGTCTCTCTCTCTATCTCTCTCTTTCACACACATCTAATATCCCCATCACTAGTACCACCAGAGCTGTCCTACCAGTGCTTTTAGGATAACGTATTTCACTTTCAACAACACTTTAGGATAAATTATAATGTCGTCTACAGAAGTGAAACACATAAAAGTTCACAACATTTTTTTCTTACTCTAAAAGTCAAAGGGAAGAAAATATGTATTATATAAACACTGCATTGCATTAACACGAAAGTGAATCTCTGGTTCACATTTGAAATCATTAAGAGTAAAGCATTTAAAAAATAGTTCACATCAAGTATTTGTTGTCTTATGTGAGGTCTTCGGAGGGTTTGAACGCCGGGGTCTTCTTCTGAGGGCTTTGTCTCTCAGTTGTTGTACTAAAAAATCATTTGAAATGTTTGTTTTGTTTATTTTTTTGTTTTATGTAAACTATTTTGTGTTCAAAATCCAGTTGAGTAGTAGTCGTAGTGATAGTACTGCTCTTCTTATGGATTATATACACAAAGTTTTTCTCTGCTTTTGATGCTTAAGATGAAGACAGTCTTCAACGCCAATACCCGTCGCTTTTGTTTTGTGAGAAAAAAACTGTTATTTAAGAAAAACATATATTTCTCGAGAGTTAAGCCGTTTTGCGAGCGTTTTGTCAGAAGAATTTTTGCTTAACAATAGTCTTGTGGAGGCTTTTCATCATAAGAATAAAGTCTGAATCAAATGGTAAATAAAGAATTCAAGAGTAGACGAGAGAGAGAGAGAGAGAGAGAGAGAGAGAGAGAGACTTACAGAAGTGTTAGTCGAAAATCGCGAAATACAGTATAAGAACAGACTTTATAATTATGTACACAATTTGGTGTCGAGAAAAACGAAAGAAATAATTTTTGTGTATTTAGTTTGAGTCTCTTTTTTGCTGAAATGTTAAAATGTTTGCCAATACTCTTATATTCCTCTTATTCTGTAGTTTATTCTTATGTCAAAAGTTTAGACGCTTTGAGAATAATTGATTTGAATTTCACAGTTATATAGTAGCCGTCGTTTCCCAAGATTTATATATAAAACTTTTAAATGTATTTATTTTTTATTATTGCAAAGTTTGAATCAATTTTTCAAATCACTCGCTAAACAGTTTGTATTGTTTTTGCTTCTTTATGGACAAGTAGTTGTAAACAACACATTAATTTTCAGTCAAAAATATACTTAATTTAAAAATAATAGCATTAAAATGTTTTCATTTTCTCCACAGAGAGAATACACCAAACATTATAATGAATGAGAAAATCGATTAAATCATTAAATTATTTAACGGCTTTTAAAAGTAGTTTTCTTTAATTAACAAATAAAACATTAATGAATTAATGAATTTCTAGCTAAACATTGATTAGACTTTCGCGGAGAGAGAGAGAGAGAGAGAGAGAGAGATGAAATACGTTATCCTAAAAGCACTGGTACTGTAGGACAGCGCGAGTGGTACTAGTGATGGGGATATTAGATGTGTGTGAAAGAGAGAGAGAGAGAGAGAGAGAGAGAGAAGTATTTAAATGAATGATGAATTAGTATTGCATTTTATTTTGTCTCATCCTTTCATCTGAACTCATCCTCTCTAACAATAGTTTAATATAATATAAAATAATATAATCAGTCGATTAGTGTCACTCATGTGAACATTAAAACTGTATTTTTCTATTCTGTCGGATATAAAATCTACAAATCGATACTCCATTTGTAGATTGTTTTATATATATGTTTAATATTATATATTATGTTCATTTAGAAAGCATTAAAACATTTTTTGTTAGCTTTTAATATCATCATCACATCAAACATAAATAAACTGAATATTAAAAAACAAATCGCTTTTTCGACTGAAAAAATCCTTTTTATGCGAATGTGAATGACATTTGTGTTGAGAGTATTATATAATATGATATTTCATATGTTTTATAGTAATCTCAATGATCTTAATGTGAATTTTAAAGTCAATCTATTTTCAAGGCATAACTTCCATGAATTAGCTCTCTTTGTATATTTAAATATTTTTTGCTTTTTTGTTGAATTTGTATATTTTTTTCGTATAAATTACTACACTATTTGAATATTAGAGTTATATTTCACTCATTCATCACCGAATAAATTAAGTGATGGTTTTCTTGTAGTGATATATCATTCATATAATAAGATAAGAAATATATATGAATTTATTTGTTTAGAGAACGAGAGAGAGAGAGAGAGAGAGAGAGAGAGAGAGAGNGAGAGAGAGAGAGAGAGAGAGAGAGAGAGAGAGAGAGAATTAAAGCGAGTATTTGTATTCATTAAATGTGAGCCCAAATATTGAACTGAGAATTGAATGATATTTTAATGTCTTTTGAATCGCAAGCGAAAGTGAAAGACACGAAAACAAGGCATCAGTGAATCTGATGGGAACGGGAGAGAGAAAAGGCATACATAAGCGTATATATGGCCCGAAGGCATCATAAATGGCCGCAAAAGGCAAGTCTGGGAATGACTGACTGTGAGAGTCAAACATGATTTCGCTTTAAAAGTTTGTGTCGTTTGAAGTCTACATCTCTTCACCAAAACGTAACTTCAAATGTATTTAAAGTTTTCGTTTTACAGAACAGTATTTGATATATCAGTGATATGTGTAGTGAAAGTGCAGTCAAATATAGTGAACACTTAAGTGGCGGTCAGATATATACAGAGCCTGTCGTTAAGAGCCCAACAGCTCTGACATTGACATCATTTTTATCTATCTTTCAGTTGAGAAACTGATCCCAAGAGTAGAGTATATATGAGCCGAAAAGTCCTGCCAATGCTTTTCGTCTACACATAAAGTGTACACAAAAATACTGTTTAAAGAAAATGAGGAGAAACTCAAGTGAAGTTAAATGAGCCCAATATCTTAAATCGCCGCCATTTAATCGCTAACCAGTGCTGGTCTACCACTGCTCTCATGTAATGCAATCACTCTTTGCGCTTAATAGACAAGTCTTGTAAATAAATTTGATAAATGAAATGAAATGTTTGATAGAAAACTAATTTATGTTTTTTACAAATAACTCAAAACACC